ATATACTTCAAATTATCGAAAATGTTTTCAAAAAAAGTGTTCAACTTTGTTAATCTTTATATATATATATTTATACAATTCTTACCGTTGTTCATCAATTTTTCAACCATTCATTGTTAAAACATGCATCAGGCGTCTGAATTAAGTTCTGCATGAACAATTAGATAGTTTAGAGATTTCAAACTATTTTGAATACTTTGAACATTTTGTTGAAAATATTCAGTTTTAAAAATATGTTTACAGTCAATTCTACTACACAATTCTTACCGGTGTTTATAAATCCTTCGACAATTTCAAGACTAAAGATGTATCTCTCTTCCAAATTCGCTCTGAAAGGAGGAAAACATCTTATAGTTTTACAGTTGACCAAGTTCTTCAAAGAACTTATTCGCATAAATTAGCGADGATCAAATCCACAAATTGTAACAATATTCCATCGCAAACTACAACTAAAGCATACAAGTCGTATCTAAAGGTATTTTACCTGGTAGAGGTTCAATCTAAAGCCAGTTTAAACAGCTTCTTTGTAAAATAAAGCGAGATTTTAAAAGCTGTATCTTTGTGCATGAATGGAGACACCGCGTCTTTCTACTTACAGACGTCACTGAGCTCCTGATTCTACAAAATGAACATAAATATCGTAAGGTTTTGACCAAATACCTTCAATATTATGTCATAAACGCGAAGTTTACATTGTAAATACCTGAAAACGAATACTTCGTAACCACACCTTGATTCAGTCGTCTTCAGTGGATTCAACAACAGTTGGCAGACGTCATGCAGTGAGGAGAAGGGCGTGATCTGGAATGCTTACGTCACTCGTCACTAGTCCTAACTCGCTCTTGCTAGTCCTGGCGGAAGTGGGAATGAAGCGCGCATTAGCGCGCATTTCAAGTTAGGTTTCGTTTCGAATCGTTTCGAATAACAATTGCATTCGGGTATATCAAATGGAAATGAAATAAAATCTGAAAAATCTGAGTTTCATTGATATTTCTCATAATTTTTTTTTTGAATTTTTTGTTGTTGAATCATTCATATTGAATGTATAATTTACTTAACAAATAGATCTCATTTTTCCGTGCGTGTGTACTCTAATAGATACACAGATGACGTCAAAATGTAGTGAGAACAAAAAAGTACGCACGAGACGCAGTCGAGTGCGTGACTTGTTCTCACTACATTTTATAGTGTACACACGCACGGAAAAATGAGATCTATCTGTTTTATACAACAAACAATTAGTTTTGACGTAATCCGTG